ATACCCACAGAGATTGTTGGGTTTTCAAGCAAGTCGGCAAGCTCAACGTCGAACACAAGGGGCTCGACACACCAAGTGAGGACGACGACAAACCCCACAAGCAGAGCACCAGGAAACATAAGGATTTCCCACAAGAAGTCAAAACAGTAAACTTACTTCACGTGACGAACAGAACGGCGCCACAAGAGATATGCGCCATATGGCCTATCCCAAAGGAGTCTCGCCAATGGTTGTTAAAACCAATCACCTTCGACCATCAGGATTACTCTAGAAGTATCCGGAACGCAGGCTGGACTGCCTTGGTATTAGATCCAATAATCGACGGACTCCATTTTACAAATGTCCTGATGGACGGCGGCAGTGGTCTAAACCTGTTATACCAGGACACAATCCGCAACATGGGGATAGACCCAACAAAAATTTGCCATAGCAAAACCTCCTTTCAAGGGGTAACGCCAGGCCCAGATGCCCGTTGCATGGGTTCTCTCCGGCTAAAAGTTATGTTCGACTCCCCCGATAACTTCCATTGCAAATAGCTAACTTTCCACATCGCCCCATTCTCAAGTAGCTATCAAGCACTGCTGGGACGCGAAGCTTTCGCCCGCTTTAACGCAATACTGCATTATACATCTCTTACGCTTAAGATGCCCGGTCCACGAGGCATCATCTCATTAAAGGGAAGACATTGAGTGTTCCTCCCGCACGGAAAACGGCGTGGCTGCCTTGACAGCCCCACAATAAAGCGGCTTCACCAGCCAAACCATCTAAACAGGTCGTCAAGACCACGGACACGGCTAGACGAGTTCGGCATAAACATACAACTGATAAAGGCTTAATAGCCATATACCCCTGTACTAGGGGCTCCACGCATATAAAACAAGAGACAATAAAGCTCAATTTTACCCATTTCGATTCATACTTTGTTTATTTAGTATAACTCATGTTCGGCACGATCTTTCTTTAATTAAGTTCCTCTCTTTTACAGATGAACACCATGCTACGCCCGTCCAAGATACGGCACAACGGAGACACAGGCGCAGACGTGCAGCAGGGACCCGTTCCAAGGATTCTTTTCAGATTAAGATCCTGCGTAAACCTTTTTTTACTGTCTCTTGTTGATACACATCCCCTGGTTTCTTGGTATAACCAAGGAGGAGGCTGGCGTTTTGGCATGTGGCCACGTCAGAGTTTTGCGCGTACCTGGACACTAGGGACTTATTACTAAGGGCGTTATCCCACCCTCCCTCATAAAGACCGAATACCTTAGGGAGTGTTCAGCGTTGCGAGTTTGGCCTTATATGCATCAGCTCCGAATCATGTCTTTGGTCAAATGTTGGGTTTGCCCGGCTCCTGTGTTTTGCTGCCTTACGTTCCACTCTATCGGCTAAGGCGGCACGAGGAGAACTACTGCGATTGTGCCCCAGTTCACCAGGCGAGCACCTCAATAGAGAAAGCCGAAAACTGACTGTCATGATATAGGGTGAGACTGGTCAACCACTCGATGATATAGTGGAATCTTTAGGATCCCTCCGCATTAACGAAGGGCCATTTCCCGGCCAGGCACATACGCGCCCCGAGTTCGGGCGAGCGCAGGCGCCACCAGGGGCTATATAAGTAGTCTCAATGTCAAACTCCTATGGCTAAATGAAAGTGATAAAGCATCATAGTCCGATTGCCTAGTTCGCTGCGCTATCACCTCCTTTGTAGGACCAAGACGTTGGATCAAGTGTGAAAATGCGCCTTCTACAAACACCCCCGCATTATGTGCGTGGGGGCTGAAGCCGACGACTGCCATCTTTCAGATTATATATACATATATGTTAAACGGCCGCATAGGAGGTATCATAATACTTACAGGCACAAGTATAAAAAGCTTCTACAATTTATCTAAATATTGTTTTACAATAATACATGCTATTCGAATATAGTATCCTTGGAGCACTGCGTCTCTATTAAACGAGCGCCTTGCAGAACTTTCTGAAAATAGCGCTTGGCAGGTACTCGACTTCCATCCGAGTCTGGGGATGCAACAGCGGTGGCTTCCATTTCCGCCCAGTATGTCTTGACACGGGCAAGAGCCATCCGCGCACCCTCTATGCACGCTGACCTCTTCATCGCATCGATATGCGGCGCCGCACCAAGGAACTGCTGCACCAAGTTGAAATAACTTTTCGGCTCTGGTCTCTCTGGCCACAGATGACTCACGACATACTTCATGGCGAGTCCGTACAGCCTATTTAGCTCGGCCCATTCGGCCAAACGATCGGCTAATGACAGTGGACGCTCTGGATTGTGGAACTGCGACCAGAAGAGCTTTTCCACTTCGCGATCTTCTTGATCTCGGAAGTGCTCGGCCGCATCTGCGGCACTCACTGCTAAATCCAGATAGGTGTCCGCCGTACTCCACATCTGGTCTAACGGAGCATGTTTAGGATCACAGAACTTTCTCCGCAGCATAAAGGGCTTTCCAGCCGCGATTTCTCCGGCCTGACGCAGCTCCTCCTTCACAGCTCTCATCGCAGAGCGAGCATCCTTTGCATCGGCAACGGCCTTCTTCAGGTCCGTCTGTTCCGCCCGATCTTCTTTTTCAAGAAGCTTGCAACGGTCAGCAGCGTTCTTCAGCTTCACGGCCATCTCGGCCATTTCCTTCTTGCTTCGGTAGTGAGCAGCCTGTTCGGCTTTCAGCTCTTCAATTGCCATTCTGGCAGCCGCATCACTTTTCCTGGCTTGCTCCTTGGCTCGGGCAAGTTCTGCCCGAAGATTCTCCATGGCAGCAGCACCATCTGCATCAAGCGCACACATTGTAAGATACTGGCATAAAGCTCCTCTTACCAGGTGCCGCCAAAGGAATTACATACCTTGTGCCTCGTCAAGCCGCTTGTTGACAAGCGCGATGTCGGCATCTGCCACGTCAAGTTGCCGCTTTAGCTCGGCAAATCCATCAGTCCGGCTGGCCACCGTACACTTCGCCACCTACGTATAAAGGCGGCATATTAGACCTGGGATTATGATCCTCTGTGCGCCGTCACTTTTGACAATACACAGAGTCTCAGGGGCTACTATCTACACAGGGCGCATCTTATTTATGCGCAACTGTCCAAAAAGGGTACATTATTTCGCGTACCTCAAAACTTGTCAGTAAACTCCTGACGACCTCGTGCAATCCGCTCTCCGCGGATGAAATCCTCTCAATCACCGTACCCATCAATGCACGGTGCTCCTCTAAGATAGATGCTCGCCCTAGCAGATCCTTCAGCTCCTTCGACCGCGCACCAGACGGCGCCGGACTCGTCCGATGGCCCTTTTTGAAGGCCGGACGTGAAGGGCTTTGGGGGGGCATATGACTACCTTCCGGCCCCGCCGGATTCGGAGAAACCCTCTGCGACGATACCTCAGGGTCGCCCGCCTCGCAAGGCGGTACGGCAGGGGGAGGCGTTCCGCTCTCCATCATCTCCGGAAGAAGATCCCCCGAAGACGAGCTCTGCTGAGAAGGGCTAAGGTCCGAGCTACAAGGTAAATTTTCGATTACTTTTCTCAGATATAAAGCAGGGATTTCTCTTGTTTCTTAAAAAGAAAACTCCCCTCTACTTACGGCTCGGTGGAGGGCTGATCCCCTTGAGGGCATAATTCGGCCGAAGTATCCCCCAGAACAGGACCCTCTGGCGAAGATTGCTTCCCCCGCTTTAAGGCCATGGTCTCCGGGTCTTCAGAGGCGGTCCTCTTCTTCCCCTGAGGAGAGGAATTTTCGATTCCTCCCTTCCGGACAACCTCCTTTGAGGAGGCTGTAGCTCCCTTGTCCCCTCCCTCGCTTTCCTTTGAAGGCACAACCTCCAACATCCTGACTAGCACGGGACCCGGCGTGGTCTCGGGGAGGGGGGCCGGACACCTGATTAGCTTTGCTTTCGCTATCCACTCCTGTTTAAAGGACAACTTTTTTAGGGGCAATTTTATGATAAATATACGGATAGCGAGTCCGGGCACGAGGCTATTTACTTGAGTATCCGGACGATTGCAGCTCAGACATGCGTCCTCCATAGAATCCGGACACACTACTTGTGGTTCGAAGAACAATTTGTACATCTCCACGGGCGTCATGCCAAGAAAATGTTGGAGAACTCGTGGTCCCTCCGGGTTGAACTCCCACAGGCGGAGGGGGCGATGTTTGCAGGGCAGAACTCGGCGAATTAACATAACCTGCGTCACCATGACCAGACTGATGTCTCTTTCTAGGAGATCTCGGATGTGGCCTTGCAACAGGGGCACGTCCTTTGCCGGCCCCTAGTCCAGCCCCGTATTGACCCATGACGCCAGTCGTGGCGGGGGACCCGAGCAAAAGGCAGGTGGCGCCACCCGCTTAGGGGCCCTGGGAGCGGTAATGTAAAACCACTCTCGCTGCCATAAGCCGGACTCCTCTTGAAAAGAGCCCTCGGGCCATGGAGTACCAGCATTCTTGCTTATAAAAGCACCCCCGCACTCCGCATGTCGTCCCTCGATCATCTTCGGCTCTACTTTGAAGGTCTTGAGCCATAGTCCGAAGTGAGGAGTGATACGGAGGAAGGCTTCACACACGACGATGAATGAGAAAATATGGAGGATGGACTCCGGGGCTAAGTCGTGAAATTCCAGCCCATAATAATACATGAGCCCCCTCACGAAGGGATCCGTCGGGAAGCCTAGCCCCCGAAGGAAGTGAGACATGAACACCACACTCTCACCGGGCTTGGGAGTGGGAATGACCTGCCCTTGAGCAGGCATCCTATGCGAGATTTCGCCGGTCAAGAACCTGGCCTCTCTCAACTTCAGTACGTCCTCCGCCGGATAGATATAGTAGATAGATATAGATATAGATTTTCTTGTGTATCCTAAACGGATCAGGTGGACGTTAGATGGAAGTTTGCTTGGCGTAGCGTTGAGTTTTGGCCTTTCGGGGCAGCACTGTCCACGCCGCGCACGCGCACTAGAGTCAGTCCCAGCTCCCAACCTCCGCCCGGAGCCTCGCCATGGCCGCGCCGTGCGGCCGCGGCGCGCTGCGGCTCGTGCTCATCGCCTTCTCCGCGGCCTTCCTCACCTACAACGCGGTCCTCTCCTCCCGCTCCCTCCTGCCCCTCCCCACCGCCTCCTTCCCCGCCGCCACCACCGCCTCGTCATCCCGCCGCCTCGCCTCCGGTGGCGCCAGCAGCGACGGCGGGCGGAGGCTGTTCCACACCGCGGTGACCGCGTCGGGGTCCGTGTACAACACGTGGCAGTGCCGCGTCATGTACCACTGGTTCAAGGAGGCGCGGCGGCGGCCGGGCAGCGCCGACATGGGCGGCTTCACCAGGATCCTGCACTCCGGGAAGCCCGACGAGTTCGTCCACGAGATCCCCACCTTCGTCGCCGACCCGCTCCCCGACGGGGCGGATCAGGTAACAGTAACACCCCGCGCACAGTTGCTCGGTTAGGTGAAACGGCAATTTTATTTTTACCCTGTTGCTGGTTGGGTAGAGTTGTGGAGAAATGCGGGTCGTTCGTGCGGATCACGTGAATCGGTTGGTAGGAAGATCAGCAAAGAAGTTCCTGAAACTGTCTAGACATTGGTTCGTGTTCTTCAGTTTCATGCTCAGTTTGAGTTTCATGGCACTAACACAGCACCACTATAACAAATTTGATGTCCCAAACCTCCACTTCTGCCGCACTGGAAAGGTCAGGGCATAGTAGATTATAATTCCACTGACGCATGAGCGTTGAACTTCTGGACAAAACAACAGCTGCCCTGCCTTACCTTGTGTACAAGCATGTGGGGATCAAGTGCATGTGGATCTGAGAAAATGGTCAGGGCCAAGTTGATGGCAAAAGACTGTCTGGCAGCTAGGATGGGTAAACAGGGATTGGACCCTGCTGCTACCCACTTTTCATCATGTGGCGTTCAGAGCAGGAACCATCGATTTAGGATGCCAGCTGCTAATAAACCTTTAGTTGGTACTCAGTATGTCTCTCATGATGACAGAGCCTTCTGGTAAAGTGGAACTGTCACTGTTTGGATATAATCTACTCCTATCATTGTTCAGTTTTGGTGTAGCAACATGACTGGCATACTGATGGACGAACAAGTCAAGATCTCACAAAGTTTTTCACCGAGCCTTAGTACCAAAACCATGCATTATATCATTGAGAATGTTTTTTTTTTCTGCAGCAAATTGTTCCCAGAATGCTGCTTGTTAGAATTTTCTCCTAACAGAGTTCATCCAAATCTCAGGGATACATTGTTCTTAATAGGCCCTGGGCGTTTGTTCAATGGCTCCAGAAGGCAGACATTCCGGAAGAGTAAGTTTATAGAAAACTCATATAAGAAGCATACATCAACCTTCAGAATCAATATCTTAGTTGATTTCCATATGTGCTGTAGATATATCTTGATGGCAGAGCCAGATCATCTTATTGTCAAACCAATCCCAAACTTATCAAGAGATGGCCGGGCAGCAGCTTTCCCTTTCTTCTATATCGAGCCCAAAAAATATGAAAAAGTGCTGCGTAAATTCTTCCCCGAAAAGGAAGGGCGGATCACTAGCATTGACCCAATAGGAAATTCTCCTGTCATCATTGAAAAGGTATTTTTGTTGCAGTGGAATATATTCAGAGCATCTACTCATACTGAAGTAATTAATCAATTATATTCTCCCTAATTTGCTAGGAATCTCTTTCTAGGATCGCACCGACATGGATGAACATTTCGTTAGCAATGAAGAAAGATCCCGAAGCAGATAAAGCTTTTGGCTGGGTTCTTGAAATGTAAAGGCCTACCAATCATTAATTCATTATCTAATTTCGTTAATACGTTCAAGCTTCCAATCAGGCGTGCAGCATATCTACCTATTCTGTATACTGATGTTTCTATGCTGTTATTCTGGAAAACAGGTACGCGTATGCTGTATCATCTGCTCTCCATGGAGTGGGGAACATCTTACACAAGGATTTCATGATTCAGGTTTAGTATGTGACTGTTTGGTTTACGAGCATGTGACCCATGTATTTTGGGGAATTGTGCAATTTTGCTCTGAGCTGATAATTCCATTCTGTTGTTTTAGCCACCATGGGACCTTGAAATTGGTGATTCATTTATTATACATTATACTTATGGGTGTGATTATGATATGAAGGTATATACTTCTCTCTTGATGCAAAATTTCAGGATTCATCTTACAAGTTCATTCTTTAACCATGTTCTTCTTCTAACTAGGGCAAATTAACTTATGGCAAAATTGGAGAGTGGAGGTTTGACAAAAGATCCTACGAGAATAAATCTCCTCGTAGAAATTTTCCATTACCTCCGAATGGCGTACCTCAAAGTGTGGTATGGTCCAGCCCTGCCTACAGCTTCTAATATTAGTTTTCTATTCAAGGACCTTTACTTTTGTCATTCTAGTGGCCATTATTCTAGATGCCAGAAGAATGGAGACGGAGTATATTAGTACCAATCTTCAAGAACAAGGGGGATGTTCAGAGTTGTACTAATTACCGTGGAATTAAGCTGATGAGCCATACAATGAAGCTATGGGAGAGAGTCATTGAGCACCGCTTAAGAAGAATGACAAGCGTGACCAAAAATCAGTTTGGTTTCATGCCTGGGAGGTCGACCATGGAAGCCATTTTCTTGGTACGACAACTTATGGAGAGATATAGGGAGCAAAAGAAGGACTTGCATATGGTGTTCATTGACTTGGAGAAGGCCTATGATAAGATACCGTGGAATGTCATGTGGTGGGCCTTGGAGAAACACAAAGTCCCAGCAAAGTACATTACCCTCATCAAGGACATGTACGATAATGTTGTGACAAGTGTTCGAACAAGTGATGTCGACACTGATGACTTCCCGATTAAGATAGGACTGCATCAGGGGTCAGCTTTGAGCCCTTATCTTTTTGCATTGGTGATGGATGAGGTCACAAGGGATATACAAGGAGATATCCCATGGTGTATGCTCTTTGCGGATGATGTGGTGCTAGTTGATGATAGTCGGACGGGGGTAAATAGGAAGTTAGAGTTATGGAGACAAACCTTGGAATCGAAAGGGTTTAGGCTTAGTAGAACTAAAACCGAGTACATGATGTGCGGTTTCAGTACTACTAGGTGTGAGGAGGAGGTTAGCCTTGATGGCCAACCTCAGAAGGACACCTTTCGGTATTTGGGGTCAATGCTGCAGGAGGATGGGGGTATTGATGAAGATGTGAACCATCGAATCAAAGCCGGATGGATGAAGTGGCGCCAAGCTTCTGGCATTCTCTGTGACAAGAGTGCCACAAAAGCTAAAAGGCAAGTTCTACAGGACGGCGGTTCGACCCGCAATGTTGTATGGCGCTGAGTGTTGGCCGACTAAAAAGCGACATATTCAACAGTTAGGTGTGGCGGAGATGCGTATGTTGAGATGGATGTGTGGCCACACGAGGAAGGATCGAGTCCGGAATGATGATATACGAGATAGAGTTGGGGTAGCACCAATTGAAGAGAAGCTTGTCCAACATCGTCTGAGATGGTTTGGGCATATTCAGCGCAGGCCTCCAGAAGCTCCGGTGCATAGTGGACGGCTAAAGCGTGCGGAGAATGTCAAGAGAGGGCGGGGTAGACCGAATTTGACGTCGGAGGAGTCCGTTAAGAGAGACCTGAAGGATTGGAGTATCACCAAAGAGCTAGCTATGGACAGGGGTGCGTGGAAGCTTGCTATCCATGTGCCAGAGCCATGAGTTGGTTGCGAGATCTTATGGGTTTCACCTCTAGCCTACCCCAACTTGTTTGGGACTAAAGGCTTTGTTGTTGTTGTTGTTGTTGTTTGTACTTTTTTATTCTGTACCGAACCCGCACTGTCTTGGTTATCTAGTCTTTTATGAAGAGTTTTGTTATCTTTCTCAGTACTCAGTACACATTACATAACAGACGATGATTCACACTTACCACAAGTCCCTTTTTTACTATGCCTTTATCCTATGTTCTTGGAATATTTGTTAACGCGTATAGTGGATTTTGTGTTTTCCACAGGTGACACTTGTGAAAATGGTTAATGAAGCAACGGCCAGCATACCCAACTGGGAATCTTACGCAGCCGAGTGACCTTGTACAATCTGATACTTGTCAAGCTGATTTTGTTCGCTCGATCACCAGCCAAGCTTGGATAAGTGGCTCATACGAGTTTATTCAGGGCCCTGACTCCAAGCGTGTGTATGCTGGCCTTGGATTGCTGAAATCCGAAAGCAAAACTAGGGCAAAAACAACGTGATCTCTTTAGTTACAGTCACACATATACTATGTCTTAGGTGAGAATTACAGTGGAAATGAGTGTGAGGCATGTTGAGCTCTTGTTCTTGATGCTCATTCCTGACTTGTGAGTTGTGACTTCATCCTGAGTCCTTTCTGCTTCAGAGAAGTCACGCGTACACTGTATTTTAGGCAAGGCAATGGAATCCTCTATTTACTTGTTTTTTTATTTGAGGAGAAGCTGAACTGCATGAATCAAAGTATTCAAGTTTGATGAGTAATATAACGGTGGTTGTATAAAATGAAGTTGCCCTTCAAGAAGTGACATGTTTGCCCTTACTTACTTAGCTTACACTAATGATCTTTGTCTTCTGCCTACTTGGTATAAATTATCACTTGACCTACAAAAGGCTCATTTTAATCAGAATGCAGTTGTTAGAGGCCAAAATCAACAACATAAATCACACCTTGAACACACTACATTTTGTTTTGCCTACAAAAGGTTCTTTTATATTACTGAAGATAAAGTGACCACGAGAAAATATTCTCCTTTGCCTTTTTAATCTAGGACCCTCTCAGCTGGCGAACGTTCGCTGGGAGGGGGTGGCATTTTGAACGATTTCACTGGCAGTTTTAGTTGTGAGGGGTTGACAACTTCATGACAACATGACAGTTTCTTCAGAAAAAAGACATTTTTGGTTTAAGATTTCGCAAACCAACTAAAACTACTAGGAAAAAGTGTTCGCTTGTCATCCCCTCCCAGCTGATGTTCGGCAGATAACATTACCTTAATTTAGCGAACAAGAAAAAGGAAAAGTCAATTCCCTCGTTCGTACTTCTCCTCCCAGTCCTCTTTCTTCTTCCCTTCGCCTGCCAGATCCCACCCCGCCGCCTCCGATGACCACAGACCCCTCCGCTCCTCCCTAGCCCCCGCCGCCGCCTCCTCCTCCTCCTCAATGGAACCCGCGGCAGCGCCAGCCTCCCCCGCGCCCCCTCACGGAGGCCATACCCCCACTGTCGGCGGCAACGCGCGGGCCGTCCGGCGGCGCCAGTACGCGGTGCTGGCGCTCACCTTCGCGGCCTACGCGGCGTTCCACGCCTCCCGCAAGCCGCCCAGCATCGTCAAGGCGGTCCTCTCGGCCGACTGGGCGCCCTTCACCGGGCCCGAGGGGACCCACCGCCTGGGCGAGCTCGACGTCGCCTTCCTCGCCGCCTACGCCGCCGCCATGTTCGCCGCGGGCCACCTGGCCGACCGCGCCGATCTCCGCCTCCTCCTCGGCGCCGCCATGCTCGCCTCGGGGGCCGCGTCGGCGGCGCTCGGCGCGGCCTACTTCCTGGGCGTCCACGGCCTCCCCTTCTTCCTCGCCGCGCAGGTCGCCAGCGGCGTGGTCCAGTCCGCCGGGTGGCCCTGCGTCGTCGCCGTCGTGGGCAACTGGTTCGGCCACGCCTCCCGCCGCGGGACCATCATGGGGGTGTGGAACTCGCACACCTCCGTCGGCAACATCGCCGGCTCCGTCCTCGCCGCCGCCGTGCTCGAGTTCGGCTGGGGGTGGTCCTTCTTGGTCCCCGCGTTCGTCATCGCCGCGCTCGGGGTCCTGGTGCTGGTGTTCTTGGTCGCTCACCCGAGCGATGCTGGCTTGGACCTGGATTCAATGATGGAGGTTGAGATGAATGGGGATGGTGGGGAGGAGGTGGAGCTTCTTGTAGAGGACAAGAAAGAGGCTGAAGTGCATGATGATGATGAATTGGAATTGGAAATGGAAATGAGGTCCCAATTACCTACGGCCATCGGGTTCTTGGAGGCATGGAGATTGCCTGGTGTCGCGGAATATGCATTCTGCCTCTTCTTCTCCAAGCTTGTTGCTTATACCTTCCTGTACTGGTTGCCATTCTACATCAGGAACAATGGTATGTGCTTCTTATATTCAGTTAGTTTATCCTGCGGTAACAGTAGCGAAATATCACCTTATCTGCACTGGACATCTGGTGAATTTGGGTAAAAGAGAAGAAGAAACGGGCCGGGATTGGTTTGAATTGCTCTGAACTGTTAGACCATTCATCCTACCTTAGCAACTTGATATAGCAGTAGTTTCACTTTAATGTCGCGGCTAGCTTGTCGCTTATTGGACAACATAATCTTCAGTTCCATGCGCAATCAGAAATTTAAGTTCTACAAAGAACTTTTGTTTTATACTCCCTCCGTTCATAAATCTAAGATGTTTTTGATATTTCAATATGGACTACATGCGGACTGAAATGAGTGAACAAACACACTAAAACGTGTCTATATACATCCGACTAGAAAAAAGTTGGAACATCTTATATTTGTGCATCGAGGGAGTACAATGTAATGTGATGGGGCTAATTGATGTCTAGCGATTCTTAGGGATCTTCTTTGAATTTATTTTTGGTATTATTTTCAGCATTTCTGCCTTTATACAAGTAGCTATTTAGCAGTGTTAGTTTGTTGAGCAGTTCATTGTAAGAGGTTAAAATGTTGCATATTGAACTGAAAACCTCTTTTTGTTGAGTGAAATGAATGCTATCAACATCTGCTCTCCATGCATCATTTATCTTCCTAGATATGATAACAGTTGACACCCCGGGGTGTCTTTATTTATCTGCTTATAATATTGTGTAAACTACCCACAATTCCTTCATTTTGCTTGCGTAGTACTAATGGTAAGGAGAAAATTAGAAGTGATAAGTGCCATTGGGAGCTTATTGCTACTTTGCTGCAAGCATTGCTTTTCAGTGAAGAACTTCTCCAATGTATCATTGCTGACTTGTACATGTCACGATGTTGCAGCTGTAGCAGGCCAGTTCTTGTCACACAAGGCTTCAGGAATTCTGTCCATTGTATTCGACATCGGAGGAGTGTTGGGAGGGATTTCAGCTGGCTTCCTCTCAGACGCAATAGGTGCCAGAGCTATAACATCAGCTCTGTTCCTTCTCCTCTCGATCCCCGCTCTTATCCTTTACCGGACATTCGGAAGCATATCCATGCGTTACAACATCGGCCTCATGTTCCTCTCCGGCTACTTCGTGAACGGCCCATACTCCCTCATCACCACGGCCGTCGCAACTGATCTCGGCACCCAAGACGCGATCAAGGGGAATTCACGTGCACTAGCCACTGTCTCTGCGATAATCGACGGCACCGGTTCTGTTGGTGCAGCATTGGGGCCCTTGCTGACGGGGTACATCTCGACAAGAGGATGGAACAGCGTGTTCTTCATGCTGATCGTGTCCATATCCCTTGCCCTCGTGTTTTTGATACGCATAGCCAGGGATGAGATAGCTGCCAAGATCAGCGCCAGGCGTTAGGTTTTATTTGCTGGCGCTTGGGAACTGATGAGAGGCTTTTTTCCCGGGAGTTGTAAAAGTCTGTAGGAGTTAGGTTACGGCCATTTCTTGGTTCATGTAAATTGGTTGGTTGGTTGGTTGCACATATGCACACCCATGGAAATTTTAGGCTGGATACAGGGATTGACAAAACGTGTTTGTGGTGATTGCTGCAGTTACCAAAAGATTGTTGTGTGCAAAGTTGAGCCTGGTCCGGTCGCGTGATCTTGAAACGGTGTGGCGTCAACCATGTTCTAGTCATGTCACATGATTTTTGTGGACGAGGAGCAGAGAAGTTTCCCTACAAAGTTGTATTTTTGTTACTACATGATTTTTGCTGACATGATTTTTGTGGACGAGGAGCAGAGAAGACATCCTCTATATATTTTTGTGGACGAGGAGCAGAGAAGTCATGTCACATGATAAGACATCATGATCCAAAAGTCACTACAAAGTTGTATTAAAGCTATGCCAATTAATTTGGATCGGAGGGAGTACCGTGTTCGACACGGCACTTTCTCATGCTAGACATACCGAGGATGGTAGTTGCCGGTTGTCGATCCGGCATGAGCTTCCTCAGTAAGCTCGAGGGACGGTCGACTCCGTGAAGATGAAGGTGATCTCCCCAAAGAAAAGTGCATATTTCAATTTGAATTGTCACAAAGTCTAAGAAACAACGCTAAACTTCAAAACCATCTACTTTACAATCCCAAACTTTGAAAACCGAACAACTATCAACCCTCCTCTGAAAACCGGACAACTATCAACCCTCCTCTCTTCAAATAAGTTTTCTGGGTTGTTTTGATCGGTTTTCAATTGTTGACCACCTAGTCAGCAGCCAACTCAACCGCCATGCACCTAGATATCTAAACCTTGTAATTTTTAATCTGTTTGGTAAAAGATATTGAAACTTTCCAAGAATGATCAGCATACTAGTGTTCATTTTCAAAATAAATGAAAATCTGGGCACTATCATTTTTCGGTCGAATTTGGACTAAAATTTGTCCTAAATATGTATTTCCCTTGTATTTTGTAACCTATTTGGCAACAATGTTTGGATCTTCCTAGAATTATCAGCATAGTCTTGCTCACTTGTGAGAATTATCTTTAAAAAATCTGGACACACTCTCCTTGTAAATTTTACTGTGTTCAAAAAAAATGAATGAAACTTACCCAAAACGATCCGCATGGTAGCATTAATTTTTTTCTAAAAAATTCAAATTTTCTGGGCACTTCATTTTTGGGTTAAATTTTGTCCTAAATATGTACTCCCTCCATTCCATATTACTTGTCGCTCAAATGGGTGTATCTAGCACTGAAATACGTCTACATACATCCGTTTGAGCGACAAGTAATATGGATCGGAGGGAGTATTTTCCTTGTATTGTTTAATCTATTTTGCAAAAATGATTGAAACTTTCCCACAATTATTAGCATAATATTGTTCATTTTTTGAGAATTGTTTCACAGTTTTCCGGGCACTTTCATTTTTTGCTACATTTTGACCAAAATTTGTCCAAATTATGTTTTTTCCTTTTAATTTTTAATCCGTTAGGTCAATAAAGTTGAAACTTTCCGAGTATGATCAGCATAGTACTATTCAGTTTTCAGAAAAAAATCAACTTTTCTTGTGCATTTCATTTTTTGGGTCAATTTTTTGACAAAAAGAAGGGTTGACGTGACAGCTGACTAGGATAGGTGACTGGATGGCCAACATGTCAAAACAGCCCAGAAAACTAGTTTGAGGGGAGGAGGGTTGATGGTTGTTTGATTTCCAGAGTTCTAGATTGTAAAGTAGGCAATTTTGAAGTTCAGGGTTGCTTTTTATACTTTGGTGACAATTCAAGGTTGCAATACGGGCTTCTCTCATCTTCACATGCTCTTTTTTGTCGCCATAGAGGAGGAAGAGGAGCGGTCGATTTGTTCACCAATATGGGAAAAAAGATGACCTTTTTCACCTAACTAGGCTAATTGAGATAGCTGATTGTATGGTCAACAGGTCAGAACCAGAGTCATGGAAGGGGATGGTTGAATGGTTTTCAAAGTTTGGGGGTTGATTTTTAGCCGGTTTTAAAGTTGATGGTTGGTTCTTGACAAACTAAAAAGTTCAAGATTGCAAACTGGGCTTCTCTCAAGAATATAATGCTTTTTGAAGCGAAAATTGCTTTTGGAGGCCAAGCTCCATGGAGGTTTCTGAAAAATCCAAAATTAATCAAAATTCATATTTTTACATTTCAAAAAATTCTGCAAAAATACAGATATACCTGGAGGCATAGTGCACATGTGTGTGAATTTTCAAGATGAATATGTTGAAATGAGGGTTGTGCAAAAAAAAAATCCATGGCTTTTCAACATATGATACTATTCACCCCCAAAGTCCATGATTTTGTTCTTTTCGTACAGAACGTATTTCAAGATGTTCATCCCGACATTATACACACATCCTTGTATACTTGTAAAAAATCAGAATTTTTTGAAACTGAAAAGTTTGAATTTGTTTTTTTTTTTTGAAAATTCGGGCTCCATGGAGGCTGAGCTCCAAAACGCCCCACTCCTTTTGAAGTTGTAATTTCACACTCGCTCCTACTAGTCGGCACAAGCATAGCTATTTCTCTTGCTAGTTAGCTTGTAGAAGCAGCGATTGTTAAATCGTCGATGTAGAACACAGGAGATGCCGGCGGCAATGATCTGCGAAGTAAATCGCTGATCTGTTAAAAAAACACCGACAAGGGTTTTTAGAAGTTTCAAAATCCATGAAAGTTGCCCAAATCCAGACAAATCCATCGGAAACCAAAACCAACCGAACCCCGGAAGACCAGTTGGAGACAAGACTCCATACGTACACCGCCAACACAAGCACATGAACGGACAGGGATAGAGTGGGGTGAACATTATTCCGACACTATGGCAATGCCATTGCCTCGTCGCCCCAGACCAAACACAAAGACTACCTAAGGAAAACCTGAAACAAATCATCCATGTCATTGTATGACTGAATATGAGTCTGATGTCGAGCTCACCGCAGTTTGTAACCATGCATCGACACCCTCTTCTCGAGTGATCTAGACCAGCTGGACGACCGTTAAAGTTGGTGCGCTGGATCGCTCCGTCCACCAGCTTCACAACGCCATCGTCAAGCACCGCCTTACAGAGGCCGTCACTCGAGCACACATCTCCTTCGCCGTCCCACAACAACTCTCCAGCACCTCCATAACAGGCCATCCCCGGATTAGGACCTCCCCGTTGATGCAAGCGCCACACCCTGCAGGTGGTAGAGGGGGAGACGATTGGCGGCGGCTAGTTTTCTCGGTCGCCCGCACCGACCCCAACAAGGCATTGACCTTAGACTCCGTTTGAGATCGATGTGTTTGGTTTGGTCCATGCTCTCCTCTAGTGTGATCCGACTCTGACTAAGAAATAGGTAGGAGTAATTTTTTCTGTTCTATCTTGGGCTAGTCACTTGGTTAAACATTGTCAATGCCGCATGGGTTGTACAATTTGTAAAATATTCTCATGCTTGTACCCGTAAAAGGTGGCGGTGGATAGCGAGCGGCTGGATGTAGCTCCGGTTCCTCTCTGATACGTTCTCTCTCTCACCGGATGTCTCTCTGAACTGATTCCTTTCCTCTTGCTCCGATTTTTCTCCCTCTGCAGCGCGAAGGAGGTAACCAGGGCACCGACGGCAAGGCGACGACCAGGGCGGACAGCAGCTCCCCTTTCGGCGATTTCCCCCTCTGGTATGAACCCTAGCTGCTCGATCTGTTTAGAGGATTTACTGGTGATTGTTGTGTGTGTGCTTCTGTATGTATGTTCAGTTAGCCGAAGTTCAGAGAAGAATATAGTTCAGTTTTGTGTATGTCATCCTAAAGCAATTTTTTTTTCTTCTGTTTCAATTCTACATTGTAGATGGGCAAGAAGTAAAAGAAGTTAATTTGTGCAGCTGTGTCATATACGCTTCTCGTCATGTCGGCCTTGGTTGTCCGGTCTGGGAAAAGGAAAAGTAGGACTGAATGCATAAGCTATGGACTCATGGATGAGACAGATAGGGTGAGAAGACAGTATTTTGAGGACAAAATATGGAAGGATGATGCAACTTGTTTGAACATGCTTAGGCTTGGGAGAGGACCTTTCTTCCGGTTTTGTCAACTTTTAAGGGACCGCAGGTTGCTTCAAGACACGATTCATATGTCTGTTGAGCAGCAAGTTGGCACGTTCTTGCACACTGTTGGACACAACGTTAGGGATGCGCCAGCTGGGGACAATTTTCGTATAACCGGTGAAGTTGTTAGTCGTTATTTCAAAAAAGTCATCCATGCCATTGGAGAGCTACGCACGACCTTATTAGAGAGCCCTCATCGGCGACCCCAACCAAAATAGAAGGGAATCACCAATGGGATCCATACTTTAAGGTATGAGGTTTGGTGACAGGTACATCCTCCTCATTTTCTACGCATGAATCTGGTTAGGTCCTGATATTTTAATTTTCATGAAATAGGATTGTGTTGGAGTTATTGATGGCACACATGTACGAGCCTCTGTTACAGAAGACATGGAGCCTCGCTGTCATGGTAGAAAGACCCATGCCACTCAAAATGTGATGGCGGCTGTTGATTTTGATCTTCGGTTCACATTTGTGTTGGCTGGTTGGGAGAGGTCAGCACATGATGCTCAAGTTTTACGTGATGCTTTGAAACGTGAAAATAGTCTACGTGTCCCACAAGGTAACTTGATGTAGCTACATTTGTCGATGCCACTATTTATGTACAGCAAAGTAATCCGCTTGTTGCTCATATGTTAGGAAAATTCTATCTAGTTGGTGCTGGACATGGAGCCAAACCAGGGTTCTTGCCTCCTTTTCGTGGTGTGAGGTCCCATTTAAATGAGTGGGGGGACAATCTTGTTCAAGATGAGAAGGAATTGTTTAACCATAGACATTTTTCTCTTCGTACGACCGTAAAGCGTGCATTTGGGTCACTCAAGGGGAGATTCAAAATCCTTGATGAGGCCAAGCCATTTTTCTCCTATCCTACTCAAGTAGACGTTGTTATAGCTTGTTGCACTGTTCACAACTGGGTTATAAATGATGGGATAGATGAATTTATCATACCCGAGGCTGAATGTGTTGCCAATATTAACCATGCTCCAACGACAAGTGGCCAAGCAAATGGACTTGCAAACATGGTTAGTTTTCGGCAGGGAATCGCCAATCAAATGTGGGAAGACCGACAAAACTACTTGCAGCACAATAGTATGTAATAGCTTCATTTGAACCATTGTAATATCGTAATGTTGTAATCGGAACCCTTGTACTTCCTGGAATTTGTTTGTAATGTCACATTATGTGCTGAAATGAACACCAGTCCAATCCCAAGGCACATGACACCTACTTCTGCTGTTTTCTACTCCCTATGTACTTTTCTGTCACACAATCTGCTGTGGCAACAACATTTACAGATTACAGTGGCACACGACAATCCAGCACTCCAGGTCTTCTTGTACTCGGCCGATCTCTTCTTTTCATGGTAGTGAACCCTATCTCTATTGGATTAGTCACTTGGAGTTGTCTTGTTCTTCTAGTAGATCCTTATATATAGCTTTTAGAAGGAGCAACCAAAACCAACAAATCACTCTTTCTCCTGGTTCAGCTGGTCACCTGTCTGCTGTGCAGTACCCTGCTCATGTAACCATGTACTGTTTGTCTGATTCGTTTGAGTGGGTTTTCTTCTTCAGCGCACTTGATCGATTTGAGTCGACCTCGCATGACTTGGTCTCTGAATCTACTTATTGTGGATTACTGGACACTTCGAAATGACTTCATTTCAGTTCATCTGACTATCTGAGCACCTGCTGCAGAAGTGGCATTTGACAAGTTACATGTTCATATTATTAAAAATATACTAGTCTGTACCGAATAAAGCTTGTTGTGTGAGGAAGCTTCGTCCAGAGGGCCGGCCAGAGGGGAGGGGGCCCGGGAGTGTCACGCCCCCCACCTCTGACTGCGTCTATGGTGGTCAGGCCAGGGTATCCGACCGCAGCCAAGTTTCTCCACCTACCGACTTTTGAATCCCGAGTCAGTCACACGCCGCAGTTGGCCTGCACGACCAGGGCTCATGAAATTCTTCTGCCTAAGAAAGACTGCTCGAGCTTATTATATACTGTATATGTGTAGCACTTGGCTCAGTCAGTACTCTCCGAGCTTTGACCTGGCCAGTTAGCACGAGCGTGTGCGGGAGCAAGGGCCATGCCGCGCCCCTGCACCATGCCGCCGGCGATGGCCCTGCTACTATGCTTGGCGGTGCTATCCAGCGGCGGCGGGTGCGAGGGGTGCAGGGACGACGAGAGGGCGACGCTTCTGGACATCCGCGGCCAGTTCAACTACAACTCGTCGCTGGACTGGAATAGCACCGCCACAGATTGCTGCCGGTGGGAGGGGGTGAGCTGCAGCTCCCGGACAGCTCGTGTCACGGGCCTCGACCTGAGCATGCTGCACGGTATTGCCTCCAGCACAGGCCTACTCAACACCACCATGTTCCTCCCCTTGCAAGAGCTGCAGGATCTGTCCCTGAGCGGCCTCAAGATACAAGGATGCACACCCGGTGCAGGTAATTCGTCCAGACTCTCTAGATTCATTGAGCGCGGTTTTCAAACCAATTATGCTGTTCTCCGGCAAATGTTCCTTTTTCCTCATAGGCTGTTTGTTTATTTATTTCTGCAGGCTTTGAAGTATGGTCAAAATTACACAGACTAAAAGTTCTTGATTTATCATATAATGGCAAATTAATGGAGAGTGACGTCCCATCCTTGGTTGCAATTTCATCACTACGGTCACTATTCCTCAACGGGAATGACTTCAGCTCCAATATGACAATACAGAGTGAGCTTTCAATTCTCTTATCCCGAGGAGTATTTAAACTTTTTCGGTTTTTTAGAAAAGGAGGATCACCCCCGGCCTCTGCATCAGAATGATGCATGTAGATGTAGTATTTAAACTTTTTCGTAGTGATCTGTTTGTGCCAGTCACATCTTCCAAATCATTTCTCATGGTTTACCATGCTGTTTATTGTACAGAACTGAGCATAATGAAGGTGGATACTCTTGACATAGGCGACACCCCCGGGGATGCATTGGCAGCAAGGAAAAATGGGGCAGAATGGCAATGAGGCTCCCTAGCCTAGCCTAGCCCACCAGCCTCGCCGCCGTCGAATCCCCGCCGGTAGCCCTCCCCCTCCCCCCGGCCATGGCCTCCGCCGATGCCCGCTCCGGCGACTCCAGCCCCGAAGGTCGCATCCGCTGGAGCGGCTCTGCGGGCGAATCCTCTGACTCGCGCTCCTACCGCGAGGTCGTCAGCACCCCGCCGGCCCCGCGCCCCCCTCCGCCGGCCGCGCCGTGCCCGACCCCTGCTTCCTCGGCCCTGGTGCCGCTCCGCTCGACTGCGCCGGCCGCACGCGTTCCGGCTGCCGCCCGCCTGGGTCCACGCTCGGAGGTCCATCGCGCGTCTGGAGACCCTGTTCTCGACGCCGATGGGTTCCAGCAGCCGCGGCGGAGGAACCGTCGCCCGTGCGCGCGTCGCGCGGCCACCCCTCCTTCCCAGCGCCGTCGCCGCAGCCCGTCGCCCGAGGAAGTCGCCGGCCTGTGCTTCAGGTGCCTGGAAGCCGGACACCGGGTGCGGGCCTGCACCAACCCCGTGCGCTGCCGTCGCTGCCTCATCTCCGGCCACGAGTCCAGCTGCTGCGAAACGCTGCTGCCCGGTGACCACCGTGCGCAGCCTCCGGCAGTCCACCGTCCGGTGCCTGACACCCCGCCGCGTAACCCCCCTCCTCAACTCCCCCGCGACGCCTCTCTGCCGCGCAACACCGCACCATCCCCACCGCCCGCCTCTGTGCCGGCGCGTGTCACCATCGCTCGTTCCATCGAGATGGAGGAAGCGGAGGAGGTGCTTGCGCGCGGTATGGTGGCCACCATCACCGGCACCAGGCCCTCTGTCTCCCCGACCGACGTGGAGGCAACCTTGCACGCCATGTTCGACCTGCAGCCTGGCGACTTCACTGTGCACAAGCACGCCCCGGAGGATTTCCTCATCATCTTCTCCTCGTGGCTGATCATGGACCGGATGGCCGGCGACCACCTCATCAACGCCGCCCGCTTCACCCTACTGCTCCGCCCTTGGTGCAAGCTCGCCCACGCCACTGCCGGGAGCTTTGCATACTCTGTGCAGCTCGAGCTCCGCGGCATCCCGGCGCAGGCATGGCACCTATCCACGACCGAGCACATCCTTGGAACCGGCTGTTGGGTTGAGCGGTTGCACCCGGACACGCGTTCCCGCACTGACCTTGCCACATTCCGGCTCACTGCGCGCGTGCGGGACATGGCCTCCATTCGCCAGGACGCCATCCTGGAGATTGTCGAGCACGTCCCCGACATCCGACCTGACCTGCCGCCGGCCGTCCGCACCCTGGAGTACCCCATCTCCATCCGGCTTGTGAGGTCCGCTGCCCTTCCCAGGGCGGTCGACGATGCTGCCATTGGCGATGGCAATGGCGATGGCGAGGCTCATGGCAGCACGCACGACCCTGCAGGCCGCGGTCATGGACGCGGGCAGCAACGCCGTCGTAGCCGGAAGCGTCGCCGCCCAACCTCCGCCCCCGACGGACGCGCCGACGGCATGGCGGTCGACTCCGCTGGCTGGACTTGCTCTGGAGGCCGCCTACGGGCTGACGGCGAGGCGGTCGACCCTGGCTGGCCGGCGTCCCGCGCCGCCGCGGCTGTGCACGCGCCGCCGCCCGTACCATCCCGTGCCAGATGCATGGATGCATGGCCGCAAGCTGGGGCCCACCCGCCTAGTCGCAAAGCCAAAAGAGGAAAGCGTGGCGGAAAGAAAAAGCGCGCCAGGGTTCAGGCTGCGCTGGCCAAAGTTGCAGCTGCAGCGGATCCCAGGCCGACCGAGTCGCCCACCCCAGCGTTGGTGCTTGCCACCCCGACAGCTGGCAACAGCCGATTGGCGCCCGCCCACCCTCCTCCTGCAGTCGGGCCCGCAACGACCCGGTCTTGCGCGTCGCCGTGCGCGTAGGGAGACAACCTCTCTGGCGACGGACCCACCACGGCCAATGCTTGTGCGCTTGGGGATCCGGCCAGCTTATCCTCTGCCAGTGAGGTCCCGGACTCGCTTCCTGTGGCTCCCGAGGCTGATCCGCTGTCGGGGCAAAGCAATGCTTTGACCTCGTCAGCTCCTGTGGCTGATGAAGTACCTGCTGGTGCCGCTTTGCATGCCGGCCCCGCCACTGAGATGCGTGATGCAGCGCCCTCATCCACCCCTGCGGCTCTGGCGGATCTGCTTGCCACCCCCTCCTCGCCAACGGGGGACGCGGGTCGTGTGATTCCATCCATCGCGCCTTCGCCCCCTCCCGCCACCGCCATCGGGAACGCTGACTTGGGCTGCCCCTCCCCCGCGGCCCAGGAGCCCAGAAGCATTCTTCAAAGGCCCGCGCCTCCTGATGCCCATGCAAACAGGCCCGCTCCCCCAAGCTCGTCGACGCTGCAATCCACCCCTGTGTCCCATGCGCCTCAGGTGCGCAGCGCAGGGCGTTTTGCCACACCACCAATCACTCTGCGACGAACCAGACAGCCGGCCTCTGTCAGCTCCTGGACCCTTGGGGAATTCCTCACCGCGGCAACAAAGCAGACTTGCTCTGCTCTCCCCAACCCTGCGCGCAAACGACATCGACAACCCCTAAACTTCTCGCCGCGCCGTGGACGATCTGCCACCGCTGCGAAGGCCAAGCCCGGCGTGCCGCCCACCGCTGAGCGCCGTGCGCAGGTCCAGATACTGCGCACCCTTGGCATCATCGGCACCGATCAGGTGATCTCCGCCGAGGCCATGAAGGCATACGATGGGGTCTTCGCTGCGCCCCTTTCTCATGCCGTATTGACAGCCATTGCCGCGCTCGTTGGCCGCGTGCTACCCGCCGACCCGTCCACGGCGCCTGTCACCACGGTGATCTCGGGCAGCCCGATCGAGGCCTAGCCGCGCCGACGCGTGCCTTTCGTCGACCTCTGCCTAATGGATCACGGCCTCAAAATCATCAACTGGAACGTGCGTGGCCTAAACGCCCGTGCCAGACGCACGGCAGTTCGCTCGCTTGTTGTAACCTCCGGCGCTTCGACCGCTTGCTTCCAAGAGACTAAAATGGAATTCGTCTACTCGTCGACTGTCCTTGAGACGTTGGGATCTGAGTTTGATGAATATGTTTATCTCCCAGCGAGCGGCACCCGTGGCGGGATCCTGCTGGCTTGGAAGAGCCGGGACGTGACGATCACGGACCCGATGTTCACCACCAACACCATCTCCGCCCGGGTTGCGACCTCTGGCAGCACGAGCGTGCCGTGGTGGCTCTCTATCGTCTATGGCCCCCAGGACAACAACGCCAAGATCGCCTTTCTGCAAGAGATCCGCGACGCATGCCCTGGCCCATGGCTCATCTGCGGGGACTTCAATATGATCTACCGCGACGAAGACAAGAACAACGGCAATCTCAATCGGAGAATGATGGGGCGGTTCCAACGCGTCCTCAACGACCTCGCGCTCAAGGAAATTTACCTCAGCGGCCGACGCTATACGTGGTCCAATGAGCAGAGCCCGCCCACCTTGGTCCATCTTGATCGAGTGTTGTGCTCCACGGACTGGGAAGAGCTGCACGGCGAATGCCATCTGCGCTGCCTAGCCTCAGTCGTCTCGGATCACTCCCCCCTCTTGCTCGACTGTTCGCCTCTCCCATCAGCACACCGACGATTCCACTTCGAGGAGTACTGGACTCGCCTCGCCGGTTTCCCGGAGATCGTGGCGACCTCGTGGCATTCGGTGGACGACGCCAACCCGTTCCGGCGGTTCATGCGGCGCATGCAGGCCACTGCGCGTAAGCTCACCAGCTGGAGCGCGCGCTCCGTTGGCAACGTGCGAGACCAGCTTGCGATCTCTCGTGAGTTGCTGCTCCGCTTCGACGCCACGCAAGAATAGCGGGCCCTATCGCCGCATGAAGACTGGCTGCGTCGCCAACTCAAGTTATCCTACCTCGGCCTGGCTTCTCTCGAGCGGACGATCGCCCGACAGCGCGCACGCATTGCATCTCTCAAAGACGGCGACGCGAACACTACGTTGTATCATCGCCAGTGCACATACCGTAAGCAGAAGAACTGGATCCATGGCATCTCTGTCGACGGCGCCGTGCTCAATGCTCCTAGCGACATGGCAGCGGCCACCTTCGAGCACTTTGACAGCCGGATTGGGACGGACGTGCAACGTGACTGCACCATTGACCTGTCGCAATTCATTGAGGCCTCAAATCTTGAAGACCTCGACGCGCCATTCAGCGAAGATGAGATTTGGCAAGCCATCAAAAGCTTGCCGTCTCGCAAGGCGCCCGGCCCCGACGGCTTCACCGCGGAGTTCCTCCGCTCCTGCTGGCCGGTCATCAAGTACGACCTCCGATGCGTCTTCGACCAGGTTTACGAGCTGCGTGGACGAGGGTTTAGCTACCTTAACCAGGCGCTAATTACGCTCCTCCCCAAGCGCGCCGATGCCAATGGCCTGGGAGATTATAGGCCCATAAGCCTAATTCACATTGTCGCCAAGGTCCTGGCCAAGCTGCTTTCGCTCCGCCTAGCCCCCAAGCTCAACAACCTTGTCAGCAACGTCCAGAATGCGTTTATCCCCGGGCGAAGTCTTCATGACAACTTCATCCTCGTGCGTCAATCCGTGCGGCTTCTGCACCAGCTTGGTGCCCCTCGCGCGCTCCTGAAGCTTGACTTGGCGCGGGCTTTTGACTCCGTCTCGTGGCCTTTCCTGTTCGAGGTGCTGCGATGCCATGGCTTTGGCAACCGCTTTCTTGGTTGGATTGCCCTTCTCCTGTCGTCGGCCAGCACGAAGGTTCTCCTCAACGGCAACCCAGGACCCGCGATTTGGCACCGCTGCGGACTGCGCCAAGGTGATCCAGTTTCCCCGCAGCTCTTCGTCCTTGCCGTCGATACGCTGGGCAGGCTCTTTCATCGCACGGTCGAGCTCCGAGCCATGCAACAGCTCCACCCGCGCCGCACCATCCCTACCATATCCCTTTACGCCGACGACATCATTCTCCTGTGCCACCCATCGCCGGATGATACCGCGGCGGTGAAGGAGATCTTGCAGCTCTTTGGGCGCGCCTCCGGCCTGCACGTGAACTTCCAGAAGAGCGCTGCGGCCCTCATCCGCTGCGACACCGAGGACGCTGCTCATGTCGTCGCGCTCCTGGGATGTCCCATTGTCGAATTCCCGCTCACTTACTTGGGCATCCCACTCACGTTGCGTCGCCCCACTGCTGCCCAGCTCCAACCCGTCGTCGACAAGGTTGCTGGGAAGCTGCCCTCCTGGAAGGCTTGGCTAATGAACAAAGCCGGCCGCCTTGCCTTCGTCAAGGCTGTCTTGAGCGCGATCCCCATCCATTAGCTCCTTGTGCTTGCACCGCCAAAGAAGATCATCAAACTTTTGGAGAAGATTGAAAGAGGATTCCTTTGGGCTGGCCGCGCCGAGGCCAATGGAGGCAATTGCCACGTCAACTGGCGGCGCGTCTGCCGGCCTATCCAGTTCGGTGGCCTCGGCGTTCACGATCTCGAGCGCACTGGCCTTGCCCTTCGCATGAGGTGGCAATGGCTCAGCCGAGTCGATGATAGCAGGGCCTGGAACGGCCTTGACCTGCAATTCGTGCCCGAGGAGCGCGCGCTCTTCCTCGCCTCCACTACCATGACTATTGGCAATGGCCAACGCGCCCTATTCTGGGAGGACAGATGGATCAACGGGCGTGCAGTCCGCGAGATCGCGCCTCTCCTTTTTGCTCACATCCCCAAACAGCGTCGCAAATCCAGAACCGTAGCGGACGGCCTTCATGCAAACCAATGGGCCACGGACATCCATGGCGCGATTGGCGTCCCGGAGATCGGAGAATACCTGCGCCTCTGGCACATGCTCACCGAAACTGCCCTCACTGACGCTCCAGACTGCATTCGCTGGAAGTGGACCACGAACGGCGAGTACTCCGCCAAGTCCGCATACCTCGCCACTTTTCAGGGCTCCACCAGATGCCAGGCTTGGAAACTTACCTGGAAGTGTTGGGCACCGCCTCGGGTGCGCTTCTTCCACTGGCTTGCCAACCTCGATCGGTGCTGGACGGCCGACCGCCTCGCGAGACGCAACCTGCCGCACCCACAGCGCTGCCCTCTTTGCGATCAGGCTTCGGAGACGATTCATCATCTTCTCCTGGAGTGCCCTTTCAGCCGCGAGGTGTGGCACGAGATTCTCTCATGGCTGCGCCTCTCTTGCCCGCTGCCCAATAACGATGCCACTCTCCACGACTGGTGGTGCTCTGCACGACAAGACACGCCTAAACCCATGCACAAGGGATTGGCCTCCGCTGCCTTGCTTGTCCCTTGGATGATTTGGAAGCATCGCAACGGATGCGTGTTTGAGGGCGCAACACCGTCGGTTACCTCCCTGACTGCTAGGATTAAGGATGAGGCTGCGCTCTGGGCCAGAGCTGGCGCATTGGGGCTCCGGGCCATCTTGCCACAAACCTGGGATGTCCACTAATGTGCATGTACTCTCTGTGTAAATCTGCCTCCTAGGAGGATTGTACCAAACCCCTTCTTTTCAATGCAATGAAACGCAAAAGTCTTTTGCGTTTTCTCAAAAAAAAAATGATATCAAAGGCACCATACCTACAGGTAAATCTTTTCGGAAAAAATATCAACAAGGAGATGATGCATCGTATGTGTACAACTACAATACCAGGATGGTGACATGGTGCATTAAAGAATAATCACTAAGTGTTTTCATTACAGATATCTGCAACATGAGAGATCTTCAAGTGTTATATCTCAGTGACAATCTTTTATTTGGAGAGATTCCATCATGCATGCAAAATCTGACTTCTCTCAGAATTCTCGGTCTGTCGGAAAATAATAGATTAATAGTAAAGTTCCCCTCTCTTATCTTTGCAAAACTCACATCGTTGGAGAAGCTTTCACTCGTAAATAACTCTCTTGAAGGAGTTCTGTCGCTGAGTTCCTTACAAAATCATAGACAATTGACTAAACTGGAACTTGCAAGCAGCGGTAACAACTTTCATGTGCAAACTGAGAATCCAGCAACAAATTTGCCAGCTCAGATTCAGGTTCTAGTGCTGCGAAATTGCAACCTTAATGGCAATTCAGGCATCATACCAAGTTTTTTGTTGCATCAACATAAACTAGAGTTCGTCGATATGTCTAACAACAACCTAAGTGGTAACTTCCCTTCATGGTTGATAGAAAATAATGTCAACCTATCACACTTAGTTCTGGGTAGTAACTCCTTTGCAGGTCCTCTTCTTCCGTCCAAAGTACACACCGGTTTGCAATGGTTGGATGCATCTTCTAACAGGCTAAGCATATTACCTGTTGACATTAACACCACATTACCAAATCTGAGTTACATATCCTTATCAGGGAATTCTTATAAGGGCAACTTTCCTTCTTCCTTTAGCTATATGAATAGTCTACAGTATTTAGAATTGTCATACAACAATTTCTTAGATGACATTGCGGCTGCATTTGTTGGAAATATGTTAAACATCATTGGTCTAAAACTGTCTGGAAACCATTTCTATGGGTCGTTCTCTCCAAACATACTATTACCTGCCGTTAAACATCTATTGCTCAGCGATAATGAAATCGCCGGGAAAATTCCTGAGAAGTTATGTGACAGTCTGATACTTATGACATTTGATGCTAGCAATAACAAGTTGACCGGCCTGCTCCCTACTTGCATATCCGCACTCTCAGAACTTGCCATTTTGAATTTAAGAGAGAACTCATTGGCTGGATCGATTCCGTCGGAAGTATGCGGCCTGTGAAAGCTTGTGTTTCTTGATGTGTCGAAAAATAACCTTTCTGGTCCAGTGCATTGCTTACCGGATCTACGCTACCTTCATATGAGTAGAAACCGATTAAATGGAACCTTTCCTATTCCATTGTACTTGGGAAATAATATCTATACAGTGGATCTCCAAGAAAATCAATTCAGTGGTGTCCTTCCAAAGCTGATAGGGAAGTCCTTTCCAAAGCTAAAAGTACTGCTATTAAAAGGCAATATGTTTGAAGGGACAGTTCCAAATGATATATGCAGTTTGAAGTATCTGCGTCTACTAGATTTGTCTCATAATAGACTATCGGGTCAGTTACCTTTATGCATGAACATTATGGGATCCGATGACAGTTTATTTGATTTCCAACCTGGTTTTGGAACTTTTCCTGTTTTATTCAATGTTATTGGGCTGCCAGATCAAGAGGAATTCATGACCAAGGGCAGGCAGGACAATTACAGGGGAAACATACTGAACTACATGACTGGACTAGATTTCTCTTCGAACCAGTTGAAAGGATCCATTCATGAAAGTATAGGTGGCATGAAGTGGTTAAGGGCATTGAATTTCTCGGAAAACAAGTTTGATGGATCAATACCACAGTCCTTATCTAATTTAAGTGATTTGGAGAGCTTGGATCTCTCACACAACAACTTGGCAGGCCAAATACCTTCAGAGCTAGTAGCATTACAGTCCCTTGCGGTGTTCTCAGTGGCATACAACAACCTGTCCGGTCCTACACCGGGAACAAGGGGGCAGTTTCTCACATTTGATCAGAGCAGCTACGAAGGTAATCCATATCTCTGTGGCCCACCATTGAAAAAGAGTTGCTCTGTGACACCGTCGATTCCTGAGCTCGAAGAAAATGGAGAAGAAGATGATAAAGTTGGTTATATCATACTGTTTGGTTGTTCGGCGATGTTCTACATGGTTGGTTTCTGGACATCCTTGGGTGTACTTTACTTTAAGACAAGCTGGCGATGGTCATGGTTTTCTGTTGTGGATAGGTTCGGTGATTATGTACTAGTTAAGTTTTTTGTATTCACAAAAAAAATTCGGAGCACCAATTGACCTTTCTGCAGGGGGCCAAATAATTCATCATGTGGCCAATTTTGTGTGGTACTAGTAGAACAATTCAATTCAACGGTTGTGGAACTTATTTAAAATATTTCTGACTGATAAGTCTTGTATTAAGGTTCTGATGTTCTATGGCCACGTTTTTTTGGTTGGTCTTAAAAATGGACTCTCAAGATGTGAAGTGGTTTGGAACTGGTCATTGTGATGTCCTGATTGGAACAAGGCGATGCTTTTCCAAATCTTGGATTAGGTTAATCTTAAGCCATTTTCTTAGTCATTGTTACCTGCAACTGGTAGGCGTATGAGCGGAGGCACGCCGCACCTCTGGTGGAGCCTGTGCATGCATCTACGTTGTTTTTATTTTAAAATAAGAGAAGGAATGGCAGTGGGTTTGAGGTCCAGCTGGCCACGTAGAAGTCTTTGTACTCTTTGATCATTGTACGATCAAGGTAGTTTACGAACAGAGTAAGAAACATCCTCAATTCATGCACATGAAAACTCAATACCTGCATTACAGTTTTAAGAACCTAAGAACAGAAGCAAATAAAAACTAAGAAAAATAAAATCCGTGCAAAGGATGTAGGAGGTATGTAATCATGCATTTTGAAATACAATATTGTCTTTTGAAATTCGGCATATCATGTCTCTACTCCATCAGAGAAATCAGTGAACAAGAAGTTCCATGATAATTATTTTCTGCAAGATAATGTCATGTCAATAGTTCTCCCATCAACAGGAGCAAACATGTTATGTTTCCAGCGCTTATATTCAAATTGATTACCTTCCCTTTGCTTGTATAGAGTGAAACAATGGTAATATATGCCACAAAGATCATATATGGTACTCCCTCAGTCCCAGTGTAAAAAACGCTCTTATATTATGGGCCAGAGGGAATACATAACAATGACGAAAATTAATATCGGATGCATCTTATAAGGATAAAATAGTTATTAGCAAATCCATATTATACACAAGATACCATCATTCAAGCTGTCTAGTCAAATTGAAGTAACTAACAATCCTGCAAAAGATTAATAATTGAAGTGAAAAATACTCAAGTCATGCGTCATCTTTGGATTTTTTTTCATCTCGGACCCTACTCAAGTCTGCACACATATATGCAGATTCATTAAGTAGTAACACAAATTTTAGACATACAAATATCATATGAATAGTAACAAAAAATGGAGAGTTTAGATGTCACAAATAATCATCAAACTCCAATGAAATGCATATTGTCAGTAAAAAAATATGTATCAAAGTAAGTAACAAATCAAAAATGCTAAAGGCAACACGACCATAATATTTGAAACAAATAAACATAGAAACAAGGGAGCCATCATGCACAAAGCATAACTTTTTGAAACTTCGCCATATGAATCCATAACACAACTCCAGAAACCTGCATATGATAAAAACAACCTGAGCAATAATGTACATGTGGAGGCTGTCGGTGTCAAAACCGGCGGATCTCGGGTAGGGGGTCCCGAACTGTGCGTCTAAGGTCGATGGTAACAGGAGTCAGGGGACACGATGTTTACCCAGGTTCGGGCCCTCTCTATGGAGGTAATACCCTACTTCCTGCTTGATTGATCTTGATGAATATGAGTATTACAAGAGTTGATCTACCATGAGATTGTAATGACTAAACCCTAGAAGTCTAGCCTGTATGACTATGGTAATGAGTCTATCTCCCTCCGGACTAAGTCCTCCAGTTTATATAGACACCGGGAGGATCTAGGGTTACACAAGGTCGGTTACAAAGAAAGGAATCTACATATTTGGTCGCCAAGCTTGCCTTCCATGCCAAGGAGAGTCCCATCCGGACACAGGTGCAATCTTCGGTCTTCGTATCTTTATAGCCCATCAGTCCGGCCCATGGCTAACAGGCCGGACGCCCGGGGACCCCTTAGTCCAGGACTCCCTCAGTAGCCCCTGAACCCGACTTCAATGACAAGGTATCCGGCGCGTAGATCTGTCTTTGGCATTACAAGGCGGGTTCCTCCTTCCGAACTCCAAAATAGTCTTCGAACGTACTGACGTGTCCGGACCTGTAACACACACACACCACACACAACCGTAGAGAGAATATAATATTTCACGAATCCAATCCGCTGGCAACTTTTTATAACATGACATCATTTCTGCCCGGTCAAAATTTCGAACCGTTTTCCGTCTGCCGCTCCATGTTTCGAGACGCGGTCGCCATTGGCATGTCTTAGCGACGCAGAGATCGTGTCCCCTTATTGCGGGATTCTCATCAATACGGGTATGGGTAACCCAACCGTGTCGTTTACACAACCCTTGGGAATAGGCGAGTTTTAAGGTGAGTGAGGAGGCGTTCAATATACACTGCCTTTATAAGGGGATAAGGATTCCCCCTTCTTCTCCCACGCCTTCTCCTCGCCCTTCCAATCTTGAGCTCCAGCGCCCAAGTTCTCATCTTCTACCCACTCAAGCTAACACTCAACCATGTCCGGATCTGGAGGTCAAGGCAAGTGGATGGTCTCCTCCATCCGGGAGAAGGACATTACTGAGCTTCGGGCGGCCAGGTACCTGGCGAAGGAAATCGCCCACCAAAAAATATCATAATAAATTTGCTCATCAAAACTTGGGGGACAAAAAATATCATCTCCATCAAACATAGCTTCCCCAAGCTTGTGGCTTTGCATATCATTAGCATCATGGATATTCAAGGTATTAGTAATAACAACATTGCAATCATGCTGATCATTCAAATATTTAGTGCCAAACATTCTAATGCATTCTTCTTCTAGCACTTGAGCACAATTATCGGAATCCTTATTTTCACGGAAGATATTAAAATGATGAAGCATATGAGGCACCCTCAATTCCATTTTTTTGTAGTTTTCTTTTATAAACTAAACTAGTGATAAAACAAGAAACTAAAAGATTCGATTGCAAGATCTAAAGATATACCTTCATGCGCTAACCTCCCCGGCAACGGCGCTAGAAAAGAGCTTGATGTCTACTACACAACCTTCTTCTTGTAGACGTTGTTGGGCCTCCAAGTGCAGAGGTTTGTAGGACAGTAGCAAATTTCCCTCAAGTAGATGACCTAAGGTTTATCAATCCATGGGAGGCGTAGGTTGAAGATGGTCTTTCTCAAACAACCCTGCAACCAAATAACAAAGAGTCTCTTGTGTCCCTAACACACCCAATACAATGCTAAATTGTATAGGTGCACTAGTTCGGCGAAGATATGGTGATACAACTGCAATATGGATGGTACATATAGGTTTTTGTAATCTGAAAATATAAAAACAGCAAGGTAACTAATGGTAAAAGTGAGCGTAAACGGTATTTCAATGCTAGGAAACAAGGCCTAGGGTTCATACTTTCACTAGTGCAAGTTCTCTCAACAATAATAACATAATTAGATCATATAACTATCCCTCAACATGCAAAAAAGAGTCACTCCAAAGTCACTAATAGCGGAGAACAAACGAAGAGATTATTGTAGGGTACGAAACCACCTCAAAGTTATCCTCTGATCGATCTATTCAAGAGTCCGTAGTAAAATAACACGAAGCTATTGTTTTCGTTCGATCTATCCTAGAGTTCATACTAAAATAACACCTTAAGACGCAAATCAACCAAAACCCTTATGTCACCTAGATACTCCAATGTCACCTCAAGTATCCATGGGTATGATTATACGATATGCATCACACAATCTCAAATTCATCTATTCAACCAACACAAAGAACTTCAAAGAGTGCCCCAAAGTTTCTACCGGAGAGTCAAGACGAAAACGTGTGCCAACCCCTATGCATAAGTTCACGAGGTCACGGAACTCGCAAGATGATCACCAAAACATACATCAAGTGGATCACGTGATATCCCATTGTCACCACAGATAAGCACATGCAAGGCATACATCAAGTGTTCTAAAATCCTTAAAGACTCAATCCGATAAAATAACTTCAAAGGAAAACTCAATCCATTACAAGAGAGTAGAGGGGGAGAAGCATCATAAGATCCAATTATAATAGCAAAGCTCGCGATACATCAAGATCGTGCCAAATCAAGAACACGAGAGAGAGAGAGAGAGAGAGAGAGAGAGAGAGAGAGAGAGAGAGATCAAACACATAGCTACTGGTACATACCCTCAGCCCCGAGGGTGAACTACTCCCTCCTCGTCATGGGAGCACCGGATGATGAATATGGCCACCGGAGAGGGATTCCCCCCCTCTGGCAGGGTGCCAGAACGGGTCTAGATTGGTTTTCGGTGGCTACGGAGGCTTGCGGCGGCGGAACTCCCGATCTAGGTTATTTTCTGGAAGTTTGGGATTATATAAGAGGTGTTGGCGTCGGGAACAAGGCAGGGGGGTCCTCGAGGTGGCCACGAGGTAGGGGGCAATTTCCGGTACTCCGTGGGCTTCTTCTGGTCCAAAAAAGCTCCGTGAAATTTCAGGTCAATTGGACTCCGTTTGGTTTTCCTTTTCTGCGATACTCAAAAACAAGGAAAAAAGAGAAACTAGCACTGGGCTCTAGGTTAATAGGTTAGTCCCAAAAATCATATAAAATAGCATATAAAACATCCTAGATGGATAATATAATAGCATGGAACAATCAAAAATTATAGATACGTTGGAGATGTATCACTCCCACTCACTTTCTTGTAAATACAGGCTTCTCCAATAGTCTGTATAAAACCATATGCTTTGATCACACTATCAAAGCGTATATTCCAGCTCCGAGAGGCTTGCACCAGTCCATGAATGGATTGCTGGAGCTTGCATACTTTGTTAGCACCTTTTGGATCGACAAAACCTTCTGATTGCATCATATACAACTCTTCTTTAAGATATCCATTAAGGAATGCAGTTTTTACATCCATTTGCTAAATTTCATAATCATAAAATGCGGCAATTGCTAACATGATTCAGACAGACTTAAGCATCGCTACGGGTGAGAAGGTCTCATCCTAGTCAACTCCTTGAACTTGTCGAAAACCTTTCATGATCTGT